CCCCTTAAAACCATCTCCAAAAATGGCAGTGGTACGAAATGCCAGAAAATACCGTTTTGTAAGTGCAGCTCGGGATCGGAAGGCCTGACAAAGCTGCGCCTAAAGTCCAGTACGGCTAGATGTTTGAGGCATTTTAGTAAAATCACTACCATGGAATTCCCACAGTGATTGTTCAGTCGTCCGGACAGTCTTGATTTGCAATCTCCGGTCCAAAAGATTAGAAGGACGAGTAAGTTGGACTAACTTTTTTGCATCCCTTCGATGGTTGGCTCGATCGCAACATGCAAATTACTTCCTAACCGTATCGAAACAGGCTCCTGCGACGGCGGTATTAGTGAATGCTGAGCATTGACGAAATCCACTGATGATATCCTGATCGGCTTACGAGAAGCTACCATCTTTGCCTGTCAAAATACAACATAAGGCATAAGAGTCGCAAAGTGTTTGGCTATACGACGACATCGAAGGAGATCCTTTTTTAGGTTTCTATCTCACCGACGATCGTTCAAAGAGACTCAGGACTTGTGAAGGAACAGCAAGACAAACAGTTGAGGAGAAAACTGAATTGTGATTTCAATTGTGACACTTTTCTGATAGACAGGATGCAATGGAGTGAAATTTCCTTACAAAACAACGGCTCTTTCGCGGTTCACGTAATTCCACGTATGCTCACATCATGTGCCCCCCATGACTATCTTCGCCAGTGTTAGTTTCAGCAGCACGTGAACTGATATTCAATAATTGGTTTGTTTTTCTTTCATTTCTCGTTCACATGGTACAAGAGGTTCAGTTCTTCTCCCCGTTTTACATCTTGTTTTGATAATATCGCTCAAATCAGACCAGAGAACTGCAGTATTTCAATGGAGAGAGACTGACACCCACCAATACATATGTCGTTCCTTTGCTGTTAAGCGAAAATGTAGCCAGCTGTGGCTCTGCTGCAAAATTTCACTTGCGTAACGTGCTCATGATCAAAGCCCACTACAGACTCTACCCTTCCTTGCACACTGGGCATTTTCAAATAACTTCTTAAGAAGGTCCGGAGAGAGAACGAACTAACAGTGGCACTAGTGCCTACAAGTAATAATCTCTGCCAAACTGGTATCATCCAAGACAAAGACGTATGTTTCGTTATCTCGGAGCGCAAAAGGCAGAGAAACTAATGAATGACTAATCCATTACATATCAGGGCGTATATGGGAGCCGAGACAAATGTCAGGACGGATGGCCAGCGTGTTGAGCACTAGACGAAGCAAGCGGAAAATCGAAAGAAGCATGCAGCTGGTTACAACAAACTACGATGCTGGACCTGTGCTTGCTTTTTAGTAGGCATAACACAAGTCACTGTGACCAAGCAGTGGTAACGTTCGAGACAAACTGGCAATGTTCAGCACGCACCAAGTACATCATGAAGCAGCTAAGGCTTTGCCCGGTGCCTCGACCAAAAAAATCCATGACCTAACAATCCCTTCAAGAAACAAAACGAATGTCAGGATCGTCAGCAATAGGTGATTCAACACTGGAAAGATATTGTTATTATCACTACTGCCTTTAATTATCATTGTTATTATTGTTGTTATCTCTGTTGCTGTTATTGTTGTTATTATTATTACTTTGTTCTTCGTTAAGATTATTACAACTCCACTCTTATCAAAGCAACTGGGAAAGCTGGTGATCATACAACCGAAGAACTGCAGCTGCAGCAAGCACTATGAGAGTAAATGCTTCTAATAATCTTGTTTTGCCGCATTTTTAATTTTAAAAATCAAAAACACGAGCAGAACTGATATTTATTTCATGCCATAAGGGGAGAATGGGAGGGGACGCTGAAGACAGATGATGGAGGAGAGAGATTCATCAAGATGACAATTAACATAAAATGCCCGAAATCGCCTTCCTCTAGCTTCCGCGATGCACACTGCGCTTCACGGGACATCCGTAGAGGATGTGCAGGACGGATCGGATTGAAGGCAATTTTAGGAAGAAAAAAGAGGATGTGTTTTTCCTTTTCATCACAGAAATCAACCATTTATCAAGGCTGCTCGGTCAGTCGAGGTGGCTTGCCCTTGTTAGTGATGTGACTGGGATGTTCTCGCAAACTGTCAGCCAGGTGCCAGGTCTTCGGGTCTCCTGGGTTGCATTTCAAGCAATTAAATTCTCTTGAAAGTGTGTAATAAATCACTTAATAAGCTCTAATTCTTCTCGTTCGATTCCCCTCATCTGTGTTGCGCTGCTTGCAATCAATGGATTGCCTGGCTTAAGCCGATTAGTTCATATTAAATACTGATCAAGTATTAATTTTCGCATTTTTAAATCATTGCACGAATTGCAGGGATTCGCTGACAGACTGCTTAATCCTATAACAACGATAAATTTCACCAAAAGCGTAATAATAACACAAGTACGTCGGTAGTAGTTTCGCATCAAAATTTAAATGGGAAATTGAAGTAAGAAACGAAGTAGACAGCAACAACGTGAACCCAAAACGCAGTAATAAAGCGAAAAATAATCCGAGTTGTATACACAAAGACAGAGAAAGAAAGAGAAATAAAATGCGGGGAAATTGGTAAAATTCTGATCCCAAAAGAAAATTTTGGTAAAAATCAAAGGTGAGTTTACCCAGTAGAGCAATTTGGCTCATCCAGTTATATACATTCCCACTCAGCACCACACTGGAGCTGGTCGGTGCGACGGGTGTTGCGCACTGATTAATTAGGATTATTTTAAATACAAATGTAAATAAAGAGCAAATGTGTCAGAGAAATAAAAGAGGGGAAATCGTATACGTATGAGAAGCAAAATCTTATTTAGAGATCGTGGATTTTACTTTTTATTTCTTAAAAAAATCGGAAAAACGGAACATACGAGCCCTTCTGATAACAAAAAAGAAGTTACCTTAACGTGTGACTCTACGAACGGTACTGCGCACTGCACCTCGAACTGCTCGTTTATATTTGCAACACCCCAGAAACGAACCTGAAATTTTTGGCAATCCAGAAGCTGAAATCCGGCATTACTACGGGATAATCTCTACAAAAAGCGAACCCGTTCAGACAAAAGACTGGGTCGCATCCTGAGGTTACGCAACAGATAACCCTCAGAAGTTTCAGCAACACTGATAGGTTCAGGACAACAGCAATACCAAACGACACATCTCCGATTGCGATCGGCTTGGTTGTAAATTCTCAGAAGAGAGAGCCATCGACCGCCTTGTGAATGCTCGAATTACTTCCGGGTGCCCCTACCTCACCGGGAGGGCGAATTATGGAGGGGATTTTATAATAACCTACGACCAACAATACCTAAAATCTCTAAAATTTGCGGGGGGACACAATTCAGTGAGTTGGACAGTATCCTGTTAATTTTATTCCATGAAGAAAGTATGTGCTTTAGAATTTCCTGAATTTGTGCCAATTTTGATCTCCGAACATTGAGTTTATGCTAACTTCGAACAATGATTTGTCTCAAAAAATTGACACCAACCTTAGCAATGAAATTAAAACCGCCAGCAAAGAAATTCTTCTCGATGCCACATTTGCTATAGCCAACCGATACAATGTGGTACTGAAAAGAAAATTTGGCATCATTTACAAGTATGACGCAAAAAAACCCCCGGACAACTGTGGAATTATCCATCCTCAAAATCGATGGAACCGAAAAAAAAGTCAAAAATCTGGATCACGCAAAACGCCAGGAATCGCAAGCTGACATTAAACACGCATACAAGCAAATGCACATACACACACAAACACATTTCTCTACGCGCATAAACACACATTACATAAAGAAACGCACATATGCAAAGAAACAAGGAGCGTCTAGACAATTTGTGTTTGGTATGTGCATTAATGCGGGAAAATAGAGTGGGCTGAATTACCGGAAATCCTAACAAAAATATTATTCGCCCTTTTGCAAACAACAAGCAATTACCAGTCTAGCCGTCTGTCTGCAACTTTGTAGCAGCAGCCCATCAATGGAGCAATTATCCCATGCGTACTGTTCTGTGTGCTCATTTTTTTGTGTTGGAAAAAAAAAGTTCCCAATCTGTGACTGTAAAATGTAAACCATCCTTCACAGCTAAACGGTTTGGTGTTGTCAATCTTTTTTTTTGGAAAGATTTTTAGAATAGAAACTGGAACGACGGACAAAGCAACAGGAAGTAGTGCTGTGCTGCTGCCGTGCAGAAAGAAGGTCGAAGGACCAACTCCGCCAGACAAACAACCTTCTGCGATTCATTTATTGGTTCGTTCGACGGTAAATTGGTACTGGCATATGCCGAGGGGCCCAAATTGCCAACAGTTTGTTTCTTTTTTCCTTTTGCTCAATTATACCACATTTTTCGCTATTTAAAATTTGCCCTCTGCATAATTAACGCGCTTTTATTTTACATTACCCTTCACACTCATATAAAACCACGACCGCCGTACCGGTGAGACCCAAATGTATTGCTGAAATAGAACTTAGACGACTGAAACATTCCTGTCCATTCGATTTAATATTTTTCGACATATTTTTTACTTTATACGTATCATCGCCAATATCTTTATTGCTTCCTAGGGGGAGTTTTGATTTCCTTACAAACTGGGAAGGAGGAATTCGAAAATCGGTGCCTCACAATTAATGGCTCATTTTCTTCGATAAAAATTCATAAATGCAGCTTACATCTTGTATCATGTTGAGCTGTGAGCAGCAGGCACCCGACTGGTCCTCACCAATGCAAATTCGGCCACGCCAAATCATCTCCCGGATCGATTTCGTCATTTCGGGATTCCGTTTTCGATTGAATGTCATTTGTACATTGATCCTAGAAATAACACACTGATCCCAAAAACGTAGTGAACAAAAACCAGCCCGGACCTAACTGCTTCTGATCAGGAATCCAACAACTGAACCCCTTTTATGAGTCAATCAGACCTATTTCGTACTAAAAATTCTGCTAAATTCGTACTTTCTGACTTAATTTTTTGTCTTTTTCTCCTGTACACAGAAACATTTTGAAATCTTGCCTGGTCAAAAAGAGAAGGAATCTGTCGTGTTTTACGTAATAAATTTCCTTGGAAACCAGAATCCCCATCCCTTCCCCATCCCCCCCCC